GTATGTTTTCCACCATATTTTACATGGGTCAGGCCGTATTTCTTCAGTACATGGTCATTTTTTGGTCCATGCCTGAGACATATATCATAATCTTGAATCTATTTTGGGTATTCAATCATGTTTAATAAGGCATAGGCAGTCCACACTGGTCATGCTATGTCTAAGTGCATGGCTAATTGCCAAAATAGCCTCAATCTACACAGACCACAACAAAGGTATAAAACAAATTACTTACCAAGTGATCACCCATTGTATATAATTTGTCAGACATATTCATAGATCTTTATTTTTATACTTAAGGTGGCTCCCTACAGTTATTCTTGTTTAAGCAATAATTCCGTAAAACAGGCTTATTCGTGCAGAACGCGAATTCTTTTCGACTTGGTGGCAATATTGGTCATCTAAGGAATATTTCGAAGTAGATTTCGACGATGTCAATGTTCCCATGGCAACATGACGACAGCATAAAGCCTTCCAATTTAACCCATAAATGTGCCACTATCTCAAAAACGATGTCGGTGACCTATCTTTTTTATTTCATATATCAATAAGGAATGATGCTCTGCAACTCTGGTGAAAGTTTAAAAAAATTCTGTAGTGTGTGATTTTTTTAAAAGCGAAAAATTTATTGCGAAATTTCCACACTACAGATTTTTTTAAAATTTGAAATTTATAAAATTTACCGAAAAATAAATTCGTGGTCAAAATTTGAAGATAGGTCACCGATGAAACTAATGAGTAAAATGCAAATAAAGTTAGAAAATAGCCTCGTGTAACTCGAGAAATTCCCCTATTGAAAAGCGTCGCTGACTAGTAAAAGATTGTACGCGGGCGCAGAACGAGTTTTCATTCAGCAAAAGCGAGCCGCAATGTTGTTTTTACTGTTTTGTTTTTGTCAACTTTTCGATTTATTTGAGTGCTATTGGTAGCCAAGGATTATTGTGAAAGATTAAACCGATGAAAACAATGTTGAAGCTAATTGAATCCTGCCGTTTACTCAATCTATGAGCTGTAACAGCCTATTAACAGGTGGACGTGTTTTTTTGTTTCATGTTTGGTTTTGTACTTTTTGCTAAAAATGCCGGAACAATTAGGCTATGAAACTGAAATATTTTTCTGTTTACATGTAATCACTTTAATCTTGTAGAAACACGACTAAAAACGTGAACGTTTTCTTGAAAAGTAAACAACTTTTTAAACGTTTGTATGCAATTTTGCAAATGTTTTACAGTTGAGTCAGTTGACAGTGTATAAAAAAATTTAAAAATATTGTTTCGTAGCTAATATTGATATTCGTATCATATGTAGAATTGCTGTATAGACTCGCAAGTGATTTGGCACTCAAAACGAAGTATTATTCAACTCTTTTTTCCATTAGAAACCTTTCAGAAATAGCTTTATTTTTAAAAAAAGCATGGTCAATTTTAATTTTGTTTTGTTTTGATCATGCAGTTGCGTGAGATAGTTCACGTACTTGTCCCGCGAACATCCCGCACGGAACTGTAGGGAGCCTCCTTAAGGAGGCTCCCTACAGTTCCGTGCGGGATGTTCGCGGGACAAGTACGTGAACTATCCCACGCAACTGCATGATCAAAACAAAACAAAAATTAACCATGCTTTTTTTAAAAATAAAGCTATTTCTGAAAGGTTTCTAATGGAAAAAAGCGTTGAATAATACTTCGTTTTGAGTGCCAAATCACTGCGAATCTATGCAGCAATTCTAAATATGATACGAATATCACTAGACCAAAAATAGCTACGAAGCAATATTTTTAAATTTTTTTATACACTGTCAACAGTCAACTGACTCAACTGTAAAACATTTGCAAAATTGCGTACAAACGTTTAAAAAGTTGTTTACTTCTCAAGAAAACGTTCACGTTTTTAGTCGTGTTTCTACAAGATTAAGGTGATTATATGTAAACAGAAAAATATTTCAGTTTCATAGCCTAATTGTTCATTTTTAGCAAAAAGTACAAAACCAAACATGAAACAAAAAAAACACGTCCACCTGTTAATAGGCTGTTACAGCTCATAGATTGAGTAAACGGCAGGATTCAATTAGCTTCAACCTTGTTTTCATCGATCTAATCCTTCACAATAATCCTTGGCTGTCCATAGCACTCAAATAAATCGAAAAGTTGACAAAAACAAAACAGTAAAAACAACATTGCGGCTCGATTTTTCTGAATGAAAACTCTTCTGCGCCCGCGTACAATCTTTTACTAGTCAGCGACGCTTTTCAATAGGGGAATTTCTCGAGTTACACGAGGCTATTTTCTAACTTTATTTGCATTTTACTCATTAGTTTCATCGGTGACCTATCTTCAAATTTTGACCACGAATTTATTTTGCGGTAAATTTTATAAATTTCAAATTTTAAAAAAATCTGTAGTGTGGAAATTTCGCAATAAATTTTTCGCTTTTAAAAAAATCACACACTACAGAATTTTTTTAAACTTTCACCACAGTTGCAGAGCATCATTCTTTATTGATATATGAAATAAAAAAGATAGGTCACCGACATCGTTTTTGAGATAGCGGCACATTTATGGGTTAAATTGGAATGCTTTATGCTGTCGTCATGTTGCCATGGAAACATTGACATCGTCGAAATCTAGTTCGAAATATTCCTTAGGTGACCAATATTGCCACCAAGTCGAAAAGAATTCGCGTTCTGCATGAATAAGCCTGTTTTACGGAATTACTGCTTAAACAAGAATAACTGTAGGGAGCCACCTTAAGTTTACACTGCAAAAAGGATAAAAATGAGACAATAATTACATTTGAGCATAATAATGGTCATAATTATCCCCCATAGCCATGTGAGAAATCATAGCTACCTCCTTCATACCTTCCATGACAATTATAGTCACCTGCTTAACCAGAAAATAAAAGGAAATATGAGAAATGGCTAATTATTTAACTGTATGCACTCTTACCTACCTACCTATAATCTATCCATCACATATTATATGCAGTAAATACATCATTCTTGGTGTGTAAACTGATCAAGTATTTGGTTGACCTTGTTAAAACACAATAGGAATTGTTTATATATAGCAGTGATCAAACTTAAATTGATTACAAACAACCGAATAGGGACGGAAGGAGCGGAGGACATGATATATGATAGCGTTTTTGACATATTCAAATTTCAAAGTTAAAAAGACTCTGACAGAAATTTAGAGTGTAATTGGAAAAATTTAAACAATATTTTGAGAATTAAATATTTTCTGAAAATATATATATACTGAAATATCGTTTCATATATACTGAAAATATCGAGAAAAATATCATAATGCAATGCCTATATAAAAGTACTATAAAGTTTGTGCGTGTGCATTTCTCGTCGTGCACTATGAAAATGACTAAAATCAAAAGGTCGGGTTGTTTTAAGCTTTTACAACTAAACTTACCTCAAAATAAGACACTTACCAAGTTATTTTCTTCAGTATTTTCATACTATTTTCCCCTCAATCTTCAGAAAAAACCACAAAGTTTAAACGACATTTATTTTGCTGTAAAAGCCCGTTTGATTTCTTGCTCTCGTGATATTCGTCGCATTCGTCCGTTTTGCATCCCAGCGATTTCGAAACAACCAATACAAACAAGTTTTCGTGATGGTTCAAATCATTATTTTACCGTCTATTTATAACAATTCTGTTCACGGTTGTTCGAACAACTAAAAACAACTTGTTCTTTCGTCAATGTTGTTCACGCCTGTTCGAACAATATTGTTGACGCCTGATGAATGAACAACGCTGAACAACATTGTTCTGACAACATTTATCAAGCATGTTTCATCAACCTTGTTGACGCTTGTTCCATCATGTTGCAACAACCATTGTTCGTTCATCAAGCGTGAACAAGTTGTTGGAACAGTGTTGTTAACGATTGTCGCTTGAACAACGTTGTTCAGCCATGATAACAACATTGTTCAGACATTGTTCAATGAACAACGCCGAACAACCTGATCAATTTTTACGCGTGTACACGCGTAAAAATCATCATGTTGTCGCACGTTGTCAACAACTTGTTCACGATTGTTCAGAACAGGTTGCAGCAATGTTGTGCTGCACCCTGTCAACAAGGCTTGTTAACAATATTGTTCACGCTTGTTCGAACAATGTTGTTAACGCCTGATGAATGAACAAGGCCTGAACAACGTTGTTGGAATTCAACGCAAATCAACCTGATATCAATGATGTTTTATATTGTCAACAACTGCGAACAGTCTTGTTTTATCAATACGTAAACAGCCTGATATCAATCGTTTTCGACGCTGTTATTCGTGGCCATTTTCCAGGGGGGGAAGAGAAATTTAAAGGCACAGTTCAGCCTTTTGAATGAAGGTTTTTAAGGTGCATTACAAGCCCTTTTAATTGAAAAAAACTACTGAACTAGGAAAATCAATTAAGCATAATTCAAGATCAGTGATTTCAATGTTTTTAACATTTTTAAACATTTCTAATGTTAAATACATTGAGTTCACTGATTTTGAATTATGCTTAATTGATTTTCATAGTTAGTTTTTTCAATTAAAAGGCTTGTAATGCGCCATAAAAACCATCACTCAGAAGGCTGAACTGTGCCTAATAAATAAGCACACAAACAGACAAACTTCGCTTCTTGATATGAAATTCAGTTTATTTTGAAATAAGAAAATACAGATTAGTGAACAAATACAAACTAAAGAGATAATTACAGTATTATATAAAAGTACAAAGGTAAGATAACTATAAACTATTTTATATGCAATTAAGGTTTATAAAATACTCAGTACTATTTATAAATCTAAATAGTGTTAAGTGTTTTGACTTTTGAGTTCATAATACAGGTAATTAAACCATGGCAGTATTTTAGAAAAAGGTAGTATAATTATTATTTAGGTATTGTCAGGATGGAATTTGAATCTGTTGGAGCAAGTCTATCACAGAGATTTTATGAACCATGCATGCAATTTTATTTGTACATAATCATATATTTGCCCATTATATTTATAAACTGACAGTTAATAATTAATCTTTCACAGACCAATAAAATCATCTGGGGCCGGTAGTTCAAAGACTTACATGGGCTTCGAACAACCGGGCCCAGATGATTTTATTAGTATGTGAAAGAGTAATAGTATTAACTGTCAGTTTATAAATATAATGGGCAAATTAGAGATAGAGTATATAAAATACTAAAGTAGGCTCATTGCCAATTGATGGATTAGGTTAACATAATTAATAAACTATAGATGGTTTTGTTGCATCTCACTCGATGGAAATTTTAATGTTGGATTTTGTTGATGGAAAAATCGAGTACTTAATAATTTGAATTAAAATATGGACCTAACCAGGCCCTTATTGCCTGAATGGCATCTTATTCAAATAATCATTTAACTTAATTGAAATAAAGGGATCTCCCTCAATTGATTTAGCCTGCAGAGGGCCAACCCCATTCCTGGATCACTTAACCTGAAATTCAGGCCCTACTTTCAATTTTCTGTCTGCATCCTTTTGAAAGTTCAATATTTTTAACCTTACATTAATGATAATGATTATTCAATTAAAGTCAACAATTTCTTTTTCATCCTGAGAACATCCAGTTCATTCAGTCCTTCTGAACTTGTTTGACACTCCTTAGCAGTGATATTTCTGTAGATCTGCCATTATTTTATTCCAGATATGAACTCACAGGCCCTATAAATTAAGATTAAATACATAGTGCCATTAATTTACAAAATGGACCTTTGCGATGTTTATGCATGCACTAGTCAATTGAAACCCCGGTCCCCCGACCCCCGGGACAGGGCGGGGTATTAACGGGGGAATGGCCATGGATTAACACGGTCTTAATGCAGCATTTCCCCCGGGGTACAGGGTAAATAACAAGTCAATTTATTAGCTGGGACAATTCCCAAGTCATGAAAATTTCCCAATTAAGTCATGAAAATTTGCAAAGTGCCGGGGCCATAGGGGCGGTAACTTTAACAGTCAACATTCCCCCGGTAGCAGGGAAATTACCAAAATTTAACATTGTCAAAATGTTAATTTCCCCACCCTATCCCGGGGGTCGGGGTTTCAATTGACTAGTGCATTATGGTGGGATGCAGCCCCGATTGTATGTTTCCCACCATATTTTACATGGCTCATGCCATATAACTTCAGTACATGGTCATTTCTGGATCCATGCCTGGGACATATCATAATCTTGAATCTAATTTGGGTATTCAATCATGTTTAATAGACATATAGGCAGTTCACATAAGGACTGGTCATGCTATGTCTAAGTGCATGACTATTGCCAAAATAGCCTCAATCTACACAGACCAGAACAAAGGTATAAAAATTACTTACCAAGTGATCACCCATTGTATATAATTTGTCTGACATATTCATAGATCTTTATTTTTATACTTTACACTACAAAAAGGATAAAAATGAGACAATAATTACATTTGAGCATAATTATGATCATAATTATCCCCCATAGCCATGTGAGAAATCATAGCTACCTCCTTCATACCTTCCATGACAATTATAGTCACCTGTTTAACCAGGAAATGAAAGGAAATATTGGAAATGGCTAATTATTTAACTGTATGCACTCTTACCTACCTGCCTATAATTTATCCATCACATATTTAATATGCAGTAAATACATCATTCTTGGTGTGTATTAAAACTGATCAAGTATTTGGTTGACCTTGTTAAAACATAATAGGAATTGTCTATATATAGCAGTGATCAAAATTACAAACAACAATAGGGACGGAAGGAGAGGAGGACATATCATATGATAACTTTTTTGACATATTCAAATTTCAAAGTTAAAAAGACTCTGACAGAAATTTAAAGTGTAATTGGAAAAATGTGAACAATATTTTGAGAATTAAATGTTTTGTTTATATTACGGCTTTTTATTACAGTATGACCGTGGTTTCTTGTTTCATATATACTGAAAATATCGAGAAAAATATCAAAATGCAATGCCTATATAAAAGTACTATTATTATTAATAAAGTTTGTGCGTGTGCATTTCTTCGTGTACTATGAAAATGACTAAAATCAAAAGGTCGCGCGTTGTTTTAAGCTTTTACAACTAACCTTACCTCAAAACAAGACACTTACCAAGTTATTTTCTTCAGTATTTTCCCCTCAATCTTCAGAAAAAACCACAAAGTTTAAACGACATTTATTTTGCTGTAAAAGCCCGTTTGACTTCTTGCTCTCGTGATATTCGTCGCATTCGTCCGTTTTGCATCCCAGGGCTTCGCAACAACCAATAAACTGAACAAGTTTTCGTGTTGTTCAAATCATTATTTTACCGTCTATTTATAACAATGCTGTTCACGGTTGTTCGAACAACTAAAAACAACTTGTTCTTTCATCAATGTTGTTAACGCCTGTTTGAACAATATTGTTGACGCCTGATGAATGAACAACGCTGAACAACATTGTTCTGACAACATTTATCAAGCATGTTTCATCAACCTTGTTGACGCTTGTTCCATCATGTTGCAACAACTATTGTTCGTTCATCAAGCGTGAACAAGTTGTTGGAACAATGTTGTTAACGATTGTCGCTTGAACAACGTTGTTCATCCATGATAACAACATTGTTCGGGCATTGTTCAATGAACAACGCCGAACAACCTGATCAATTTTTACGCGTGTAGTATAGCTCAGTGAGTGTAATGCAGTGTCACAGAATAAAGACATTCTGTGGCAGTGTTGACAATAGAAAATTATGTTGGGAAGTTGTCATTTCTACAGTAAAAACAGCTTTTTTTTCAAGTAGAACGAATTGTGACTTCGATTTATCTGTGGAACTATTTGAACAGAAGGTAAAGCAGTAATTTTGTTGTATTTACAAAGCAAACAGGGTCATATTTTTTAAAATATAGCGCACTGAATATAAATTTGAGCATCATTAAAATGCGTTCGCTATGATGCCATTTTGTCTCCGGTATTTACTGAGTTCTGCTTTTATACTTGTGGATATTCGAATTTATTTGGCTCAAAAACACCATTACTTCAATATCCCTTTCTTGTTTTTCCTTGGATAGGTTTTAACAAGATAGAACTCTAGATCACTTGGGTCCAAAGACGCTAGATTATAAAATCCTGATGTGACTTGATAGTTGATACTACCACAGGCGGCCCAATCTCAGAATGAATGATCAGGTGTTGCGGGTTTTTAACGGTTTTTATAAACAAATTTATAGTCAACCAAAACTATTTTAAAAACATTCTTAAATTAGTCAAATAAATACATTTTAACAATATAATATAGTTGACATGATAGTATAATACCTTTGCATTCTTTTAATTACTCCATGAGCTCATTTAGAGCGGTTGATGTAACATTTTCTGTGGCCTACATTGTGTGTGCTCATCTATATATAATATAACAGTAAAAGGCTAATCACTGGCGGCACGACCGCATCGCCTTCAAAGTCAAATATCTCCGCTCAAACTTGTCGTACGCCAAAACTAATTCGATTACATCTTTTCACAAAGATTTCTCTTCTTAAATAATATGGTTTGATCATAGTTTGAGCAAATTTAGCGACGAACGGAGCCAAAATCTCCTCCATTTCGGATGCTGTTCAAAATACTTAGGGCTGCTCGGGCACGATCGTGGACGTGACGTAATCAATACATACTGACAATAACGCCTTACCCGGGGTGGGACAGCATATCAAATCCGACGATGATTTGTCGCTTGATGCTGTCCCACCCCACGTAAGGCGGTAAGGCGTTATTATCAGTATGT